AAAGTTCAAGTAAGTTCACGTTCAAAGGATCTCTTGAAAATACACAGCTAAAAGTTAAAAGACTAGCTGGAGATTCCAATTTCGAAGGATTATTTCCTGTTTACTTTTCATTCCAGCTAGCCGAACTCTCACATTTCATCTTGGAGGCAGGACTCAACTGTCTGCAGAGGACATACTTTGTTGCTTTACACTCAAACAGTCAAACGCAAGATGGGACTCCTGGCTCTATTTACTAAAAAGGTGGAGCACAAACAGTAGGCAGAGAAAGATGTCTTGGGAGACAGACACTGAACAGAGCACAAGGAACTTCTTTGTTCGAGAGTGTAGGAATCAAAACACTGAAACTGCTGTGGTATTTTGGGTATTATCCAAAACAACAGTCACTAGTGAGAAAATGAAAACTGATACATTTCAGTTGGACAGTTTGTACTTTTTATGCTACATTCATGCACAACAATCAAAAGGCAAAAATCTGGAGTCCTTACTCAGCCTCGCTTTTCACTAAAGTAGGGGTTTTACACTGCTTATGAAATAAGAAACGTTTTTGTTGCTGTGTTTAAAGACAGAGTACATTCAGCCATGAGCCAGAGGAAGGAAGACAGAAAAAAATAATAAGGGCGTTTGTTAAGACACTGACCTTTCCAAAAAGACCGTAAGGGCTTGAGAAACGTCCACAGAGAAGTTTTTCCCAGCACACTTGAGCATTATTGATGGTAGGTTTTTCCATATGCTGCTCTGCTCACACCCTTCATGCTGCCACTGGCATATTCCTTCTGCGGCTATTATGCAGAAACTATTCCAGACTGACAAGAACATCTATCTGTGCATAGCCAGTGATTACTTAAGGTAACACAGTTTTACTTGCAAATAGAAGAGGGGAAGTGTAAAACCAGAGTGAAAATCCAGTATGAGGGTAGAGAATTTCTGCTGGCGCACTAAAAAAATTTGCCTTTAGAGAGGAAGAGTACATGTATCATTTGTAACAAAGATTTGAATCAAAAAAGTTTTACACAAATGTCATCGTTAATAAAAATGAAGATTATCAATACATGAATTGATTTTCAACATCGTTTTCAAAGTTTTCCCTGAACCACCAGACAGCCTTCAGGGACTACAGGAAAAACACACTAATATAGCAAATGTTATAAATCCCCAAAATAACTCTTATCCCATTTATGTTTTGATTCTGTCATCACTATCCATCTATCCTTATCCTGAGGCAGTAATGAAATACAAGACTTGAAACAAGTAGGGATGAGTGAGCACTGTACTTTGAAAGCTATAGTTAACTAAATGAAACCCAGACTGCCATCAGTACATTAAATGTTACGCCCATATCAATCCAGACTCATGTTGCCATATCTCTTCTGGAGTTCCTCTTCCACTACAGCTAGCAAGAGGGACCAGGGCACATGGCAAAGTGACAAAACTGGCAAATTTCAGGCACTCTTCTTGGACACAGTGCAGTCAATACAGTCAAAAAGTGACAGAGGCTCCATTTGCAAAGGGTACGTTTTTCAAAACTGAGTTGCACATGAGCCTTAAGGTAAATTTGTCAGCATGTTTGTGTGATTCAGGAATTACTCGTTCCAAAACCCTGAAGGTCGTGCAATCACAAAGATGTGAGAGGTTTTCACATGTGACCCTACTATGCCAGCAGAATATTTTTAACACTATTTATTCTGAAATAGCAACGCTACTTCAACCTATTTGATCCTAATTTTGCACAGCTCTTAGTACAAGGCTAGTAATAATCACTGATAACAAAACCCAAAAAACTCTTTAATAATTGTACTTGCAATTGCTCACTGGCATCAACCTATGATACCAAGGTTAAAAGTTACAGGCTGGACTTGATGATCTCAGAGGTCTTTCCCAGCTTTAACAATTTTGTAATTCTGTGAAATTATGATATATAACTGCAGAGTCCTTGACTGCCCATCTGACTTTCTCCAACTAGGAAAAAAAAAAAAATCTCATAAAATGTCATTTCGGCTGTTACTTGCTTTTAAGAAGATCACAGAAGTAAGAAGACAAATAAGGTGGGGGAATGAAAAGCAATATACACAAATATTTTCCAGCTATATATGTTATAACTCTATGTTATTTATTAGGGTCAAAGGTTTAGTTGTAGTTAAACAACTACAGAAGGAATTGGAGATACAATCTTCTACCCTAGTGCTTCATTTTTTTGGAGTCCACCAATCCACAGATACCGAATGTACAATGCACACATCAGCAAAACGTGGCTGAAATCGATTTCTAAAGGGAAATAAACGAGCAATGTGCCTGGCAGGCCAGCCTACTGCAGGGGTACCACTGAAGAAAGAGCATGGTACTTGGAGGAGTGGGCAGGCAGGTGGCGAAGGAGACGAGATGGGCAGGCAGACACAGGGTGGTAGCACCAGCTCTTAACCTCCTGTCGCCAAGCTGACCAGCCAGGGAAAATGCTGTCCTCTCTCTGAGCAGCATGATGAATGAAAAACCTCCTTTGTCTACTCTATAGCATGGTCCTGCCTATTTCCTGTCATGAGGCACACTGCGTGGTGTTAAGTTATACATAAATATCAAGTAGGACTCTTATAATGAAAACAAAGAATTAACCACCAGCGTTTGGGCAATTAAAACTGCGCTTTCTGTATGAGTTCGTCTCTACTCACAAAGTGTAACACAACACAGGCTTAACAAAATGTTCTTCCTGGGGCAAGGGAAATGTGATATTTATTTGCACTAGTTATCAGTGGCGGCACCACGTGCCATGATCAATCATCTCATAAAATATTACAAAGTAAAGCAGTGTCAGTTTAGATAATAATATGGCAAACTAAGTTACAAGACGAAACAAAAAGCTAACCAAATTAGAAAGTTCCCAGTTTCACTAGCATACAACATTACCAAAACTCATGTCCTAAATCCTGCCAACTTATCGTAAACTTTTCTTCAGTTTTTTTTTTAAGTTATGGAGGTGCCCAGAATAGAGTCTATAGTTAGGCAGGAAACTACAGCAAACTTACAATAGACTCAGATTCTTTATCTTCCTCAAAACAGGCCATTAATTCTGATGCTTCTTGAGTCCTCTGTGTAGTAACTCTGGCAATTTTTCAGACATTTTTAATAAAGAATCTCTGAATGAAATCTTGGGAACGGTAGTTTTGCCTTTTTTCTTTTATACTTCTTCAGTACTAAATGCCTTATGTCCATTTATTGAAGAACATAATCTTGGGAAGCACATGGGAAAAATCTTCCAGTGAAGACACTGGGATTGCTACAGACAACACATGGAAATAACCCACAATGGCAGTGACGCTGGAACTGAAACACTACACCACTCATCCACTGTCTCTCTGCTTTTCCACTTAGAGGCACACAGACTTTCATTGACACAACCCTCTGGCTGGCAATGAACAGAAATTTATCTCACCATATTGAGGGTGCCACTCATTATAATAAGTTATTTGTCTCTTCATAGCCCTTCAACAAGGGGTAAATAAATCCAGTTACCACACTAAAATACCTCTTCTAGTACTGCAGAAAAATGCTTTGCTAAACTGTGTCAAATAAAACTCGAACACACATATACACAAAACCTCAGACTGGTAAAATGCTTAGGTTTTCCTTTTAGAAAGGGAGTATTTCTGCAAAGATCGGAGTTCCTTTGGCTTTCACAAGCTTGATAACTCATCGTATACACACACCTACGATTTCTTGAGGTCTGCAAATAAATCCAACTATTAGAATGGAGGACTTATTTTTATGGTGAGTTTATCTGATATACAAACGGTGAGTTTGTCTCCCTACAAGGAACAGGAGCTTTATTCTATTGGGATGGAAACTTCTACTATGGTCTGGAGAGAGGGACAGCACCTCAGCAGTAGGAATTGGGCTTCCAGGAGACAGTAGGTCCTGCACTATAGTCATTGTCTGGTGAGGGAACACTGAAGAACTTGTCTCGGAAGAGTTGGAGGATGTGGGAGGGAGCTTCAAACGGGTGAGAGTCCTGTGCTACTAAACGGGTACATTATGTAATAATATCCATGCTGTTGTATAGCTAACTCCCACCAGAGGTTCCTCCACTATGAAGTCAAAATATTTGAACACAAATGTCAATAACAAACAGTCCTAAATTACACACCTTCATTTTAATTCTACCCTCCTCACACAAATCAATGCATTGGTGATTGTATGGAGTACACAAATCAAAATTTGGATTTTGAGTAATGACACTGTTAAAGTGGATCTATACCTGAGAAACTGATTGAAACTAGGAAATGGAAGTAAAGCAATCTGTACACAGAGGGATACAGTATGTTGTTTCCTTCTGGTATATTGCTAATATTTAGGTAAGATGCATCAAAACTCTTCTGTGAGATAAACAAATAACTACCTGCGCCGCCTCTAATTAATCTTCTTAGAAGTGTAATGCAGCTTTAAGTAGTAGTTATAAATTGATGAAAGATGACAATTTACTTGGGGTGGGGTGGGGGGGGAAAGCTTGACTGGTCAAATCATAAAGCAGATTCAGATTTGGCAGAGACTGTAAAACAGACCTACTTTACCTTTTTCCAGTACTTGAAACACATTACTGAGACACAGGATCCTTTAAAGTATATACAAGTACAAAAGAATTTTTTGATGGATAAGCACATAAGGGAGGGGTAACATGTTGATCCTGGCAATTCAAAGTA